TGTGTGTGTGTGTGTGTGGTTGATGTGTGGTTCCACCCCTCCTGTGAGGATTTATATTATTACAAGAAATTGCTCCAGGACGGCTTCACAAAATAGTTTAAAGGGAAGGTTCACCCAAGAATGAAAATTCACTCATTATCTGCTCACCACTATGCTGATGGAGAGGCAGGTGACGTGTTTATGAGTCCACAAAACACTTTAGGAGTCTCAGGGGTAAACGGTGCTGCAGCCAAATCCAAAACAATTGAAGTAAATGGTGACCGATTCTTCAAAAAAAAAACAACAGAAACAAAAACAGAAACTGCCTCCATGCTGCTCCTGTGGCATCATCCAAGTGTCTGTAAGCCCTGACATTCAGATTCGACTTGACAAGGCGTCATATACACAGAGTTTTCAGCCTAAATGTCCTCTATCCACCTGTGGAGCTGCGTTTGCACATGGATCACAGTGACATTTAGAGCAGAAACCATTTTTATGGATTTCACTCTCATTTGTTGTGATTTTACTTTTTTTGATGATAATGTGGCCACATATTTTTCTTTAATACAGTGAAGCCATATTTCATTGTTAGTTATTATGTTTAAAGGATAAAATCACACAGATTTGTCTCTGACCAGTGTAACGTGAACATGCAGCATGAATTATTTTAGTGTAGTGTTTTCTCAAGTTTGAAAAGGATCATACTCTTCTCAGTTTTCAATTTGATCCACTGATTTAACAATCCCATCCTTTTCTTTTCCAGGACTGGTGGAACTCTACATCCTTTGCCAACTACTACCGCACCTGGAATGTGGTGGTTCATGACTGGCTGTATTACTACGGATACAGAGACTTCCTCTGGGTGAGTAAACAAGAAATAATCAATAAATCACATGGGTTTTTTTTGTATTTCCAAATTGACATATCACATGATGAAGTCTGCACTCGTCCTGTAATTCAAGTGACACAGAATCTACACTGAAGCAGTCTGACCTCTGAACTCTGAACCCCCCCTCCCCCCTGATCCCTGCAGCTGTCAAAAAGGAAATTCCGAGCAGCTGCCATGCTCTCCGTGTTCATCGTCTCCGCTGTCGTCCATGAGTACGCCTTGACAATGGGCCTGGGATTTTTCTACCCCGTCATGTTCTGCTTGTTTGCAGTATTTGGAGGTGAAGGATAAAATACAGACCAAATATTATTTTTTTTGAAATACTCTGTCTCAGATCTCACAGCCTGAGCACAAACACAGAGTTAATAGTTAACTAAACATAGATAAATAGATAATCCTTATCAACAACAACATTTGCCTCATGTCTGGGGTTTTTGTTTTTGCAGTGGTGTTCAACTTCACCATGAACGACAAGCGTCAGAGTCCCGTGTTCAATGTCATCATGTGGGCGTGTCTCTTCCTGGGCCAGGGCGTCCAGGTGTGCCTGTACAGCCAGGAGTGGTACGCTCAAATACACTGCCCACGCAAAGAGGTACGTACTGTAGGTGTTACCAGAAGGAGCACTATGGCTCGATCTGGACTTTAATTTCTTTCTTAATATCTGAATGATGCTGATTCTACTCTTTCTTACACGTGACCTTATTAATAGATCAGGTATTTCTTCAAACTGAGATTGAGAGACACACATTGTTCTGCAGCAGCTCTGTAGATTTACACATAATCAGTGCTGCAGTTACTCAAAAACCTTCCTAAAGCTGGACGAGACAGACGCCACTTTATTTTATTGCAATAAAAACCAAGGTTTGTGTCATTTAACTTTGGCCACGTCTGCAACAGAACAGGAACTCGTCTGGGAAAGAAAATGGATGAAACCTGATAGAAAGTGAGATTTGTGAGCCTTGTGTCAGCAGAAATATGACGATTTATTAATCTATATTGTTATAATACTTTCTGTTAGCTTTATTAAGGCCTTTATTCCAAAAATGTCGCCGTCACTGTTTTAAGCTCAGTGAGAAGCTGCAGGGAAGTTATAGATGAGGTAAAGATGAGCCACAGATACAACTAGTGATTGCAATTACCACTTAATGAAAATACCATGTAAAGTGGGATTTTCTGATTGCATCCACTTTCTACTAGGGGTGATTAGCATAGTACTTTCTTGATAATGAAACTAGAACACTGTAGCACTCAGTGGAGCGCATACCTCCAACAACGTCCAACAGTCCACTTTAAGTCCTTAAATCAAGCTGCACCAAATTTCACACACTCATAGATATTAGTTCTCTAAATGTGCCTGATTTTTTTTTTCTTCAAGATCCATTAATTATTCTTTGGGAAATAAAATAAATGTCCAAAAATCTGGCAATGTTAAAGAAAGTAATAAAAAAAAAACTTGATCCGCCCCTGATCTGGATCCTCACCAAGGTTTGATGGGCTCTTCACTGACCTTTCCCTCCTCCCTCCTCTGGGTTTCATGATAATATGTTCATGTTGCAAACAAACAAACCAACGGTCGAACAGACAGGGCTGAAAACAACCTTCTTGGTAATATAACCTGACAGTGAGATTTGTGATTCTTTCTCCAAGAGAAATATGAATATATATGTATCTCTACTGTTATATTCTTTATAAGGAGTTTGAGGCCATAAACAACTTGACTGAATAGTTGAGCTCAGTGAGAAGCTGCGGGGGAGTTTACGTGGAGGACTCTGCACTACAGTGATGTCACTAGACTGCACTTTGGCCCCAGTTTGAGGTACTTCAAGTGAAAATAGACCAGTGGGTGAAAGGCATTAGTGTAAACACCCACACACGCACACACACCCACACACACCCAAACACACCCACACACAAAGTGCATGAACTTCTTTATAAAGAGAAAACACATCCATTTTACCCACATAAACCTGTGACGGAGCCCCACATGTGTTGAGCAACTGATGTTTTTTAAAACTCTGACGCCCCCCCCCCAACCCACGTCCAGGCATTTGATGAAGTCCCAGATGTGAAGGATTTTCATGACAGATGGACACAGATGTACTTAACATACTTACTCCTCTGTGAACTACTACTGCATCTCTGTGTGCCCCCCCCAGCTAAGGCCTCCTCTACAGCCTGTGGTGTCATTCACACATACACACACACACACACACACACACACACATGGCTTAACATAGATAACAACTGTCTAAAAATAGAGGTGGTGTCTGTATAATGAGATTATAATCATTATAATAAATGGATGTTAATACCACCACTCTGTTCTTTCTGTTTTTTCATCAGAATAGTTTCTGGGAGCTGGTGACGCCTCGGTCTTGGTCCTGCAGCTACCAGAGATGAAGCTGCCTGTCTCCTGCTCTGGAAGGATAAAGGATAGAGGGATGAAAAGATGAAAAGATCACGACAGACTGAACGTAGCTGAAAGCGTGGAAGGAAAACTCGAAAGACGTGCATCTTTTTTATTGTGTGAAGATTTCTTTGGGTCATGATGTGACTATCACTCTTTTGGTCATAATTTTATCCAGGAGTGATGTTTTCCATATGTCACATCTGGATTCTTCCCTCCACCTAGGAGGTTATGTTTTCGCCCCTGTCCTTTTGTTTGTTTGTTTAAGGGGACATTAGGGCCTTGGCTGAGATAACTTTTTGTTTGTCTGATTGTTTTAATGTGTTTAATAATTCAGACTGTTTAAAAAAAGTGTTTACTGTGTAAGTTTGAAAGTTTTAATAAGAAGCCCTGAAGGAGCACCAAACAACTTGCTGTCGAGTTAGGTGCTTATTTAATTTATTTCTGCAGTATTTGTACTAGAGCTACAGCCAAGTCAAGTTTAATTTTGGTGTGAGACAGAAACTTGTGTTCTTAAGTATCTGTATGCAGTGCATCATTAGTTTGTCACCTCAGGAGTTTTCTCATGTGAATGGAGCAGCCTTGTGTCTTTGATTTTATAATTTCACTCAAAACTGGTGACTACAGGCTTCACCGCACACTGGGGCTCCTGACCCGCAGTGTGTGTGTGTGTGTGTGTGTGTGTGTGTGTGTGTGTGTGTGTTGTTTGTGTAATCCTGCCTTGGTTGCCGTTCAGAGCGCAGGGATTGGTTGGAACAGCAGGTACGTGAAACCACCAAACACAGGAAGCACGGCGTCTTATCTGTCGGCCACAAAGCCTCTGTTTGTGTAGCTGCCACGTTTTTCTGAAGTCATACAGGAAGAGCAGGATTATCATTGGTACAGTGTTTGCATTAGTGACGTAATGCTCTGTAAACTGATACCAACCCTCACAGTGGTGGAGCAGGACGTGTACTTTTGGATCCACTGTCAGTAGTAGAATTGAATCTACGTGTATTTGTGTGTCTTGGCTTCTCTGTCTTCTGCATATCAATGATCCAATTTAAATCATGGTCTTCGCTGGATGAACACAGACCAAAGACATACAATATTTTATAAGCATCCTGAATTGGAAGAACATTGTAATTACTTTGGAGTTGTGTTGTTGTACATCAATATAAATGTAAACCAAGTGTTCACTCTCCTCTCAGCTCCGCTCCGGTGTCCACAGCATGTCTGAGAGCAACATCTATCTCTGCAGCAGCTAAATGCTCCCCAGTGTTCACCAGCTACTAAACAACTTTGTCTGCAGGGCTGTTTAGTGCCGAGCTGTAGCACACGGCTTCTTGAATCCAAGACAGATGAGAGAAGTGAGACTAGACTGAAGAGTTGAATTCGTTTCTCTTTACACAGTCGCTGAATCCATTGTTCGTGTAAAATGTTGAATTTTCACCCTTTTATTATCCTTAACAAGAGAGAAGCCACTTAAATACGTCCTTCAACCTTGAATCACAGTCCAATGACCAGACTTTAACTACCCATCGTCTTTTCAGTTGCTGATCAGTGAAGGACCTGATGAAATGAAAAACAGTTCGTCCGACTCCCTGTGTTTATCAGCCTGGATCACAGTGGTATGATGTTATTCAGTCTAAAAATATTGATCAGTGCAGCTTTTATTCAGCTTCACAGATGTTTTATCGATGTGTTGCATTACAGTATGAAATGAAACTATAATGTTTGGTTGGTAAACTAATGGTGGAGAGGAAGTTATTAATTGCATCTAATCTTTATCTGACTTGATAAATGGATCGATTACACAATAAAAGAATAAAATGAAAGCTGTTAGAGAAGAGATATTGAGCAGCAGATGCAGCCAGTGTTAATGCATCAAACACAATAAGTCTATAACAGCTTCTCCTCCGCCAGGAACATTTCAATGTGTTTTTTTATTTTTTAACCAGTACTTTTGTTCTGGATGAGATGGATGTTTTGCTTTTCTAAATTCCATCAGGAATTTCTCTGCTCTGCATGAGCCACATAAAAACAAATAAATAAAAGATAACTTTTTACTTGTTAAACAAATGTAAGTCTCATTCTGTCACCACATGAGACATGTTTCATGGTGTCTGCATCACAAAGTGCTGAGATTTAACTGGAGCTGAAATTCAAACCCCTGCTTGGCCAGTCTTTACTGAACCGCAAGAAATGTTCTGGTTCTTTCTTTCTCTATAGATGGAAAATATGCACATGGACACGTCCTCAGTCAGACTGGATTATTTTCCTCCCCTCAGGATGTCCTGCAGAGGCCTCCAAACATTTCCAGGTTTCTGTGCCTCAAACAATTTTGTCTTATCAGGGGAAAAAGAAGAGAACAAATAAAACCTGAGTGACAAGAGCGGTTTATTGGTTTTATCAACTGGCAGGTTTGCCAAAGCACCGTAAGAAACAAACCAAGCGATAACCCGCGTTAATACATTTCAGTGGCAGCGAGATGCATTCAGGAGCAGTGGTATTAAAGCAAGTAAACAATTCAAAAACAAAACACGAACGTGGAAGAAAAGGGTTTAAAAACATCTCGAAACAAATGCACAACTTGGACAGGTTTCAGACTTTGCATGCTGTGTGCAACACTTTTTACAGCTGGCTGCAATTCTCAGGGAACTGAGCCAAACACACACACACACACACACACAGAGGGGGAAGGGCAGCAGGACACACTGCAGCTATAAAGAGGGATTAGAGAAGAACACGCAGATACTCACTCACTCCTATCTGAAATGCCAGCCAGCACCATCCTGCCACTGCTAGTGCACGGGCATCTATCCGTGTGTGTGTGTGTGTGTGTGCAATCATGCAGAGGGTGGGTTGTGTTGAGGGACAAATCAGCTTTGAGTTTTTGATCTGGAACAAAGTGGCTCAGGAGATGTGATTTTATTCCCGAATGTTTGGGAACATTTATAATCGGGGGGGGGGGTTAGGGAGCACAGGTTAGGGAGGACGGGGCAGATTTACAGGGGGTCGCTGTGGAAAACCAACCAGGAGACAGACACAGACGGCCAGAGGAGAGATGCTAAGACAGTCAAGTACAGCTCAGTGCAAGCAACTTTAGACCCCCCCCCCCCAAAAAAAAGACGTGAAGTAATTTAAATGAGAGCACTGCGAGCTGGGCACTGCGAGCTGGATAACAACATGTATCAGACCTTAAATCAAACAATGGGGCCACGCTTGAAGGACCAAGGAGGATGGATTTCACTCGTTTTAAGTGCACAGACACAGTAAATCTGCCCCACAGGTTTTTGCAGTCCAGCAACAGGGGCTTTAGTCATAATAGGCCCTGGTAGTAAGAAATGTGTGGCCTGCACCACATGATGGATGATGACAAGATCTAGTCATATGACTGTGGTGCTCAGGAAATTTTCACCTCAGCGACAAGAATCCAAAACACAACTGTTTTCCTGTTTAACAAACAGGGAACTCTTTTTTCACAGCTTTTTTTTTTTTATCTCGGTCAGGATCCATTAATTCGCAAAAAAACACTCAAAGGAACTGCAGCATAAAAAAAGACTTTTCAGCTGGAAGAAAATCAAGTAAAAGAAGGAAACCAAGGGGCTTTGGTCCCGGCTCCAGTTTCTGTCCAAGTGCTTCAAAAGAGCAGACGGGTGCAGACTGTTAAACACAGGTGCTCTGTCAACGACAAACATGGCGCTGCAGCACGCTCTCACGTACATTAAGAAAAATAAAACAGCCAAACTCCATAGAGTATTTACATATTTCATTCAGTGCATAATGGAGATCTCCTCCATTTCTCTTTGTCGAATCTATACAAGTCCGTTTAGAAAACTCGACAGCGTGAGGAGTCAGTGCCGAGGAATGCTCCTGCTTAGAATTGGTTACTTAATTGGTCTTGGCATCAGACAGTCCCCCGGCCGGCACTTTCCTTATTAAGTCACAGACAGAGACGTTTGTTTACATGCAGAGCAGTGCCGGGCCGCGAGCACTGGAAGGTCCCCTGCACATATTAAGTTTCTCTGAGGTTGAGCTGATCCCACTAGCATTCATGTGACCATCAGTGGCAGTGCTGGAGGCTGCACGTACATTTAGACAGAGTTGGGTTTTTGTGCTAAAAGGAAAACATGCAGCTTCAGGAAGGGACAATTGGAACTTGTGAAAACAGAATGGTCTTTGTTTTGTAGGAAACTACTACCGTTATCTGACTATGTAGCATTTGGGAGCATCTCACTGTAACAATAAAACCCAACAGTGCTCAGAGGGCATCTATAATTCTGTGTGGTTACTCACATCTAAACAAACCTGGAGAATTTCTTTACGTTTGACCTCATCACCAAAATGGTGCTTCTGTGATTGAAAGATGAGCTTGGACAGAGGATAGTGAAGAAGATGGGTTAGAATAACATGTAAACAGGTCTCAGAAAATCTAAAGTCTACCCACACGAGGAGTGAGAATGATGGCTTAGCGCTCAGTAAAATATATTGTTTTCCAGAGGAGGTTTGGATATAAAATGTAAGAGAATAGAAAACAGAATCATTTGGCATTGATTGTTTATGTCAAAACACAGAAGATGAGCTGTCAATGTCTCAAAGTCTTTTCTCACTTCACTTTGTCTTGAAGTTATTTCTTGGCTATTTCACCAGTCGTGTTCGGTGCATTGCCTCTTCGCGACCAATCAGATTTCGGATGGTCGGCAACAGACGACAACTACTTCTGAGCGCGCTGCCTCGCCAGGCGCTTCATGAAGCAGCAGGTCACCGTGGCGATGATGACAATGCCCACGAACAAGGCGGAGGAGACGCCGATGACCAGAGGGATGAGGAGGAGGTCGGCAGCTGCGGAAATGAGAGAAGATAAGAGGGAAGGGTTCAGTGATGAAAACGGTCATTTGTATGAAAACTGCAAAAAAAGTACACACAAACACAAACACATTGATGAACAAAGTTTATGGACTTTGCTGCTGGATAAACTAAAAGCACAGTTTGCTCTGGTGGTGCAGTGATCTACAGCAGTTTTAATTTCCAGAGCCATGAACTCAATGTCGAACAGAAAACAAGTCAGCAACCAACTTTTGGCAAATTGTGAATTCCAGACAAAGCTGATATCTTTTGGTTTGGGACCGTGACTCAGACAAAAAAAGACTTTCAAGATGTCACCTTGAGCTCTGGGAGATTCTAATAAGCATTTTCACCTTCTAAATATTTGATATATTATTCATTGAAAATAAACTATTGTTAATTGCAACATTATTGGAAAGCAAGGTTGGAACCAAAGAATCTCAACTAGTTTTTCTTTCAGGAATTCCCAATTTCACTCAGTATGTGATCTAGTGGGATTAAGCTCATGTCTAAATATTTAAAATCTTAAAACTAGAGGAGCAATGACCTGCAGGCTGCAGGGGGGGAAGAGAAGAATCAATCTACTTAAAATGTGTAGACATCATTCAAGGTCAACGGTAAATGCTGGGAATTTCCAGTTATATTTACTGACCATAGGCAGATCGAACAGGAGACTGATCCCTGTTTGATCCGTCAGTTCGATCCCAAGTAAGTCAGATGAAATCTTTGAGGAAGATGAAAGAGTAGCACTTGTACCGTAACCCCACTTCCTCCCCCCAAAACAAAAATCTAAAAGGAGACACCCACCTCTCGCGTACAGGTAAACGGTCACTGCGTTTGATTCTGCTCTGACTCCCGTGTTGTACCAGCCTCCGTGCGGGTCCTGACCCCACGCCTCTGCATGACACACATACATGCCCTGATCCTCCATTGTTGCGGCGTGGACCCTCAGTCTGTAGCTGACGGCTGACAGGCGGTCGATGCTGATCTCGCTGCCGTTGACGTAGATGTCCGCAACACCGTTGTGCAGGAGAGCAGCCACCTGTGTCAGTTTCTTTACAGGGGGCTCTGACGGAGCAACAGCAGCAGCTGAACCCTGTCCCCTGTTTAAAACTGGTGCAGGGATTGGCCACCGCAGCCACTGGACCTGCACCTGGGCGGGACCTGTAGTCGTCACAGTGGCGTTGCAGATGAGGGTGATGGTGCTGCCTCTTTTTAGCAGGGGGCCGCGAGGCAGCAGAGCCGCAGCTGAAACCAGCACATCTGTAAGATGAAGGGGTTGATCAAGGTTAAACTACATACATACATATATATATAATGTGATCAAAGAGATGGTTTACGTTTTCATTTCAATAATGTGATCTGAGTTTTGCTAACATGCATTTCTGAGGAATCACTCCAGATGTAGGGTTGGTGGTCTTCCCTTGAGCCAAACAATCACTGGAATATAACAACTTATTATTTATTCCTTTTTCAGCAAAACCACAAAAAAAATCAAAGTGAAACACGTCATAACATGAATTGATTTTTTAGGGGGCAGCTATAAATATTTAATTTTACAAATTAAATAGAAACTTGGAGTTGGGTCAGTTTTGGGGGGGGTCCTGTTACAGACTTGAGCCCAGCACATCGCAGCCAAATGGCCCAAAGCCCAGACCACCGGAGGGACACTCAGCAAATTGTTAAATCTGTCCTCAGACCAAAACAATACAGCAGCGACTGAACAGTCGATGCATTCAGCAGTGGAAAGAAAACAGCACATAGACAAGATCCAGTCAAGTACAGTTTAACATTTATCAGATACTTTTGTTAACACTCTCTGTTCCTCTGTCTGCACTGTCATTGCCACAAATGAAGCCTGTGTGTGTCTGAAAACACGAGTAATCCTCCCACCTTTGGTCTTCAGGTTGACCGTGACTCCCTCAGACTTCTGAGTGAGCGTCGCCGCCGTAGACGGGCCCGGGCTGCTCCTCCCGGCGTACACACTCACCACACACCGATACACCCCTGTGTCAGACGGCCGGGCTGAGAAAAGCTTCAGAGAGTACCTCCCCTCTGCCACTTTCTCCATGGATCCACCACTCGCTCTGCTGAGGTCATCGCCCCAGCTCACCACGCCATCTGTGCTCAACCGGGCCACCTCCACCTGGACGTAAAAAAACAGTCAGTGTGGGTTAGTTTCTAGTAAAAGTCTTGAAATAAATCACATGTATTTTCATTTACAGTCTGAGAATACTTAATATTACTGCCAAAAAAACTAGGTCGTGGCTTAGCAGACTGATGACGTCAAGCAAACATCAGTGTCACGAAAACTAACAGTCAGTTTCTTCACGTCTTTAATGGAAAAAGCTGCTTTTTGGCAGCAAACTATCAATTTTGTCAAAACTTTGCCTCCAGCACTTGAACACCCCACACCTGCAAGTCTGTCTTTAAGATGAATAACCACACAACAATAATGTAACTGACAGAAAATATGAGAATTAATTGTGCATATGATGAATTACCTGTCCGTGCCTACAATTGCAAATTACACTCACCGTCAATCATTTTCTGTGATTTTTCAATGAATCATAATTAGTATTAGATTTCAAGCCACTGCATGCAGTCTTATAATGTTTCATGAGTTTTTTTCATTAATAGGCATGTGTTTATATAAGAATTAATAATTAGACAAATTTACTGTGTCTTCTTATGATGCATACCTCAGTTACAATGAGCTGAATCAGCACACCTTTACATCGTCCTATTACATGTAATCAAACACATTTAGCTGTGATCCGTAAAAACAAAAATCTGTATCATATCACTTTTACACCAAAGTTAGTGGGTATATGCAGGTTCTTACATTTCTGTTTTCCCCACAGTGACTTGTGTTTGATGTCAAAACGTGCTGAAAACAAACGCGTCAGAAGACTCACTGTCTAGCCAGTGTTGCATCTTGCACGATGCGAAGAAAGCAAAAATCTCTGTGGCAGTACACACACATTCATGGCTATTTAAAAGACAAATTCAATGTGAGTCCTAACAGCAGTGTCAGCATCTGGACTGCCAAAATAAAAAAGAAGAAGAAAGTAGCGCATTTACCCAGGTTTAATTTTTCAATCATTGCCAATCGGAGCTGGAGCCAATAAAAACCCACGTCAGTGAGTTATTTGACCCTGGAGTGAATGTTTATTGTATATATTCTCATTGCAGACAAAAGCTGTTGGTGATGTTAGTGAGTGTTAGTGGGTTTCTTTGAACCAGTGGAAAAGGAGCTTAAGTCTGAATACATGAGAGATGAGAAGGACGCTACCTCAACTCCTCCGCTGCCGACGTCATCGCTGCTCACAGATCCCCTCTTCATCCACTGAACCAGCAGGCCAGAGTTCACTTCAGGTGGCAGCCCCAAGACCTCACAAGTCAGGATGAGAGGGGAACCGATCTGCAGGGTCACCTCCCCTCTGGGTGAGGACGTTACGCTCAGAGTCTCGGCTGGACACAGGAAGAGACAGAGGGAGAGAGAGTAATAAGTCAAAGTACCAGAAATCTGTCTTGGTGGAACAAACCTCAAACCAGCACTTAGACTGTGGCAGTGAAACTCTTCTCAGGAAGTGATCTACAGCACCGCACTGAGCATCACTCCTGTGGTGAAGCTAGGAAGCTTCTTTAGTGCATCACATGTTTAATGGTCGTTATAAAATGGATTACCACATTAGCTGAGCCAAAATGCCTGAAATGTCACACACTGGTTATTATAGCATGAAACAAAATGGAACACAATCATTAGAACATTCATATTTTCCGTACATATACTGTATTGGACTTTCCATGTCAGTGGTTCCCAATCTGTGGGTGAGAATTACTATAACAGGTCGCAAAATACATTTTTTCCAATGTTTAATTAAGATGATAAGTTCAAAATATATTGTTTTTTTCCACCAGAGTTTCCTCCAATATTTTACTTGAACATCTGGCATCTAAAAAATAATCAAACAAGGTAAAAATCTGTCTTTTGTTTGCAATGTTCACAACTGGAATGAGGCTCAGGCCGCAATTTTCTCTTCAAACAGATCCTGTCTTTGCTGGTTCCAGGAAGGGAGGGACAGTCGTGTGTCGGGGAAGCAAGACCCAACCGAGCCCAAGAGAAAACAAATGCAATGTTTGTCCTGAATACACATGTGCAGTGTAAAACAAAATTAACAATCGAGTGGATAGTCCAGCTAACGTGACCGTAATATAAGTATTATCTGAACCCTCGGGTCAGGTATCCACACTCTATCCACATAATAGATACATTCACAGACATAGAATATAATACAAGGGTGAAAGTTCTTAGAAATAAGTAATCACGGCTCAAAAAAATATATACTTTTGAATAATTACAACACAAATTATCTCCTTTCTAATCTTATATAATAGAATTTTATCTATCAAAGATTTTATCTAGATTATTGTTTGATAAATAAAAAGATGAAATGCCTGTGTTTGTTAAAGGACATTAATATTACGTATAACAGTATAAATGAAGTATAACATAATTAGATGAAAATGTTGGTGTTATGATTACAAGATATGAACACTGTTGATCCATGTGTGCAGAGCCTCATTTAACACTTCTCTAAACGCAGAAAACTTCTCTTTCTGCACAATAATAGACACATTATTTAAACAAACAAAAGCAGACGTGTCAGACCATTGTATAAGTCAGACAACAGAGAATACACAATGAAGCTGTGCTTGTCAGCGTCTGTGTGAAACAATGCTTCCTCTGATGAATCAACTTCAGCTTCAATTTTATCACCACAGACAAAAGAGTGAACTTTTAGCTCCACTATGTAGTTACTTACTCGAATTAGTTTTACCTTTATCTTTAGTCAGGAATAATGACTATAACATTTGGATTGAATGATTCAATCATTTCTGTCCAGTTCTTACACTTGTTCTTATCAAAGGTAGAAAATAAAGAGTGAGGCAGGGAAGGTAAAACATTAATGAGCAAACATACCAACAATATACACTGCCTGGCCAAAAAAAAGTCTCCACCTGGATTTAGGCAGATGAAGTAATGCACCCATCATGCCTAGTGCCTACTGTACAAGCCTGTGGGGGCAGTGCTATGATCTGGGGTTGCTGCAGTTGGTCAGGTCTAGGTTCAGCAACATTATGTGTCCAAAGAATGAGGTCAGCTGACTACCTGAGTATTGGTGGCGACTTTTTTTCTGGCCAGGCAGTGTATGTGTGAGGGCAACTTCCCTTCCCAGTGGGTGTTTGAGGAAGGACTGGGCTGCTCTTAAAGTAATGGACATGTCTGTCTGATCGAATATAGTCATCCTCTCTGAGGCAAAGGTCGGGGGGGAAAGATTACTTAATCCTTCAGATCTACACAAGCGCTTCAGAAATTAAACTGAGCCGAGTGTGCAGGCAACAGGCAGCTATCCAGCTGCCAGGCCAGCCTGCTATCGACCTTTCAAATCCGCCTGGTTGATCAACAAGGGAGCCGAGCATTCAGTGTGTCAGTCGTGTATCCGGGCGGCAGAAAGAGCTGCAATTACCCAACCGAGAGAAAATTAATTGGTTCCTATTTGGTTGATTGATTGCTTTTTTAGCAAAACTGCCACAAATAGAATTGATAGTTCCAGATCATAAATCTGCTGCCTTTCTAAGTTTTCTAGAATTTAGGACCAGAGGATTAATCACTTAATGAAAAACAAATTGGTGCAGATCCAAATGACAATCTGGATCTAGTGAATTTAAATGTGGTTTCATAAGGGGACTGTTGGGTCTTGGCGGAGGTATACACTCTACTGAGTGCCATTGAAATTTGGATCTGCACCAGTGCAAACACTCAGATATATCAGTTTCCTTAATATGCCAGATTCTTTTCATCACGATGCATGAATTATCTCTTCAGAAATTGATGAAATTCTCAAAATACTAAAAAATAAAAAATCCTGGATCTGCCCCTTTGTGCGGATCTATGCCAAATATTAGTGGCTTTCATGTTTGGCCCATGTCCCATCCTTCCACCTAGTTTCGTGGAAAACCGATCAGTAGTTTTGGGGTGATCCTGCTGACAAATAAACAACAAACCAATGGACAAGGGTGAAAATACACCATCAGCGACGGCAAAGAAATAGTGTATTTTGATTCATTGCGAACAATAAGACATCCACCCAACCAACAGTGCAGCCAATCAGAAACTCCAACAGTGTCCAGTTACTTAATCAACTTCCTATCCACACAGTCAGCAGTCAGCTGACTCAGCCCACTCTAAATAACACAAACATGTAGAATTGGAGTCTGAAATCTGAAAAAAAACCAGCACTGAAGTCCAGGCCGTCTGACGCCAGCTCCTTGGCAACAACAGCGAAAGAATCAGGAGCCTTGAGCTGATTAGTCGAAACCAAACTTCAGATGTTTTAGTTTTATTAGCCCTGATTTACCCTGCAACCACAGCAGCCGACTTCGTTATACCACACTCTCTTTCCTAACTAAGATAATATTTTATTACCAACCTCGACATATTTCAATTTATGTTTTTCTTGAACAATGGCCGCAGCATTAAACAATCAGCTGTTCAGCAATGAGCTTGCTACAGCCTGACCTTGACCTAGCTTTGGAAAATGTCAGCACAAACACTGGCACAGTTTCTATGTCACACTGACCTATTTGCTGAACAGTCAAGTTGCCAATATCCAGCGTTCTCTGTGCGATTTTCTGCCACGATCGATCGGGGTCCCGTATCCACTGCGAGGCCTCACAGAAATACGAACCGGTGTCGTCCGGCTGAACCGCTCTCATCTTCATCAGGTACACGTCTTGCCCGCCCACTCCGTTCCTCTTCTCCAGCGTGATCTCGCCGTCATCATAGCGCTTTTTGTACGAACGTCCGGGGACGATCCCCAGCAGGTTGTCGATGGAGATGATCTCTCTGACGGTGCTGACCTCCCCTCCTCCGGCTCCGCTCCCCGGGGCCTCTGCACCACCACGCTTCCCGAACATGATGGACAGATGTGTGAGCTGCTCCGACTGGATGCTGGATGAGCACGTCAGGGTTAACTCGGCCCCCTCCGGCACAGGCTGGCCAGTGAGTGAGCGGGTGAAGCTGATCAGGAGTGTGTCGGGGATCACTGCCGTTGCACAAAGAAGACACACACAGACAATTACATTACATCAAGCTGCCGCAGGAGCCAAATGGGAGGAAAACAAATGTGCCAATTTCTATTGTCTGTGTGCTGCATAGACGTTTCTATGTTTAGAATAGTAAAGCAAATCAGGAAATAAGGTTGCTGAGAGAGACTCCGAGCCTTTTAGAGAGAGGATTAGGAAGCTGTTATGAAGAAATAAAGCTCAGCTGCAAAACCAAAGCATCTGTACAAGGAAAATGATGAACAGAAAAAGATACGGTAACGATATGGACAGTGTAAAATCCTCTAAATATTTTTGGACAGTCTGAGCAAAAGGATTTTAGTGTGAGTGAAGTTTGTGAAGGGAAAGGGAAACGGAAAGAAGAGTACAAACTCCAGATGGTGGAGTATAAATAGGAGCCTGTAAAGAGGAATGTAGTTTTGCACCAAGTTAAACACACGGTACAATTAATCACTGGAAAATGTCGTCCATCAGGCTGATACACTGCAACGTTGCTGATAAAATCTTTTCATTTACAGTAACACCCCTGTGACAGAACATCTCTCTTGATGGTAGATCCTGATAAAATAGAAGGGTTTTGAAACCATATTCTGAGGTAACTGTACAGTATTGGTAACTAATTGTAACCTTACACACTATGTATATATATTCAATTTGATTAGATTCAATTATATAATTATTATATTTATTATTTTGTGTAGTTTTACTGGAGTATGTTCTCATATTTGTCATATTTTGAAGTGTGTGATGTGCTTGATACCTTGCTGTTGTAACATGGTAATTTCCCTGTTATTGTTTTTATTATTCCCAGAGATCAACAAATCGATCTATCTATAATGTCCAGTGAGAAAATGAGGATATGATCCAAACAGATATTCAATGCCTGCTTGCAATAGTTAATGTGGTTCTATATTTTCTACATCAGACAAAAAAAAAGTTCCTATGCGCAACAAGTATTTTTCACACAGCAGTGGAAGGTACAGACTCACTCATTTCTTATTTTAGAAATCTGTGGTCAAGGCTTTATCCCAGTGAAAACATAATTTACTGGGTGTAATCTATGACAGCCCCTCCCTCACGTGTATTTCTGTCCTGCATGTATTATTTATTATGTGCACTGATGTTGACTGCTACAGTAATCCAAATTGCCCCTTGGGGATAATAAAGGTAATCCATCCATCCATGACATATGATTACCACATTGTTTTGGGGTCTTTTGTGGGATTTGTTGACAATGACAAGTACAGAATATTGAAAGCCTTACTTTGAATTGAGTTGTACAAATATATATATATACACACACATTACAGCTTACCTTTGACAGTTATTGAGCCACTGTAGTTTCCCTGGTAGACACTGTCTGTGCTGGGTGTGTAACACTCATATTTTCCCTGGTCTTCAGCGCGGAGCCTCTGGATCACCAGCCGGACCGCGTCCCCAGAGTCCCTCTCAACCCTCACCTCCCCGTTCCTCACGCGAGCTTGGAAGGGTGTGTAGGGGAAACCCTTGTCCCTGGTGGACACCACTCCCATCTGTCTTCCACCTGCATTGTCTCTGTACAGGAACCACTCAAACTCCTGTGTGCGTGGGCCCTCATATCCTGATACCACACAGGGCACGGAGAGGGGGAACCCTGCCACGCGGTAGAATGGCCCAGTGGGAAGGGTGACGTCGCGACACACGGCACACTGCAGCACTGTGGAAGACAAATATTGAGAGATTGAGCAAGAGAGAAGGTAATGGAAACAGTGTGAATGTTCGTGGGTCACGGTGTTGACTCGCAGCATGGTTAATACATGCACAAACTGATCAATAACCTGAGCTGATGACGGGCTAACAGGGAATCAATACATTAAATACAGAAGCCGCGCTGAGGGCTGGGCCAGTTTCATCTGAACACAATGATGTGCTTAATAAATGAAATACAATCGTCTCAGACAGCATCTTTACTCTCCTCTGCCAATAACACTTACCAATTAGGACTAGGATTTAAAGGTACAGTTCAATAAAGAGCATTAGTAAGTGTGCTGGAGATACATTAATATATTGTTATTATCAATTTATCTGCCGATTCTTTTCTTAATAAATTGTTTGTACAAAAAAAAAAAGAAGTATTAATATTTCCTAAGGTCTACACACTCAGAATGTAGTATTGGTACATCTCTACATAAAACGCACACTAAACATACAAATGTGAATCTGAATGAATCCACAGTAGCATCTCTTTACCTAATGCAGCAACAGAGATTATTATATTCTGAACAGTTTCTAACTTCTGCAAAAAAGCAGGTCAAATGTTTGAGTTAACTGCAGCAATGAAGTGAGCAGCTTCACATTTAGACACAGATGATACTACTGATTTATACAAACGGTACTGAGCCGTACTGGAATAATATAATAGGAAGGCACATCCTGTTAAATGGAAGTCTGGTAACATGGCAGATTTTCAGTGTTCTGTTTTTGCCTCAGGTCTGAGACCAGAGAACTTCATTGTATTTCACTACGTCTCATTATCTGGCAACATAACCCCAACTCCCCCCAGATTCTCTCTGAAGCAGTTTTGGGCTAAGACCACCTGCAGTATTTCAGCAGTGAAACCCTCTTTCAAAGCCTCAGGTGCTGAAACTTCTCACGCCACCACTTCTCTCTCGCTTAATACTTCCGCAAAGAGTGTCATTCGGATACAAAGCCTGTCAAAAATAAATGACCACTTTTTTAAAAGAAAGCACGACAGGGGATTTCACACACAGTTAATCATTTCTTTTTTTCAAAGACGTCCTATCTGTGAGGCCTTTAAGGCTACAATCATAAATAGATCTAAAGAAATTTGATCTTTTAATATGCAAATGTGGTCACTTCTATGTAATGTGTGTATTTTGAGTCTGGTGATGAGTTTCTTGGAAGTTTATTCAGAGATGTTTAGTCTGTGAAAAGATCATTTTTTCTCCTGGTGCTGCTCCCCAGTGGATAAACTAACCACATGTTGCTTAAATCAAAGAAAGATGATGTAAATAATGAGAGTAAACATTTTACTAAATGATTAGATGCTACAAAATAAGCCCTAACCCTTACTAAGGACGTTTTGTACAGTTGAAAACACAAAGTGATTTAACTACAGCTTGATAAAATCAAACAAATTCAAAGCAAAGAGACCAAAATATTTCACACAAATAAACTAGTACGGCACTCAGTACAATGCGTTAAGGCTCACCAGTCCTCTAATGAACATTTAAATTCATTAAATCCAGAGTTTTTTGGATCTGCACCAAAATGCACCCACTCATAAATACCAGTCCTCTTAACTTGCCTGATTTTTTCATTAAGGTCCGTGAATTATTCTTTGAGAAATCAAGACAAATGCTCTATCTCATAATGTTTAATATCGGGATCAACACAGAAATGTAATGAGTTCCTTTCCTGACCGATACTAGGTCTTTCCACCAGGTTTGAGGTAATGCGTCCAGTATTTTTTGAGTAATGCTGCTTACAATCAAACAAACCAACCAACAAAGAAATGGACAGGGGTGAGAACATAACCTCCTTGGTGGAGGTAACTACAGATTTGACAGTTAGCTGTTATAGTAACCAGCCAGTGAGATGAAAGATAAGGTAATGTTCTCCTTAATAAACTCATTTTGACATGCTTAAAACAACACTGCGATCCAAAACAAACTGTAGGAGAAGATTTAGTTGAAGAGGATATTTGAACTGGTTTGATACTAATCTGTAAACGAGAACAACCTCGTCATCTCCCAATGCAAATGAGATGCAAGTATCTACGCAGCAGTCAAAAAAACACACTGACTTACTGAACACAAAGACCACACCCATTCACTTAAGACTACCTAAACTAGAAAAACTCGACAAGTGCGTTCTGGCACTCCTTCGCTCTTTGTGTGTGTGTGTGTGTGTGTGTGTGTGTGTGTGTGTGTGTGTGTAAGTGTGTTTGTGAGTCCTTAAAAACAACTGGAGCTTTCTCACAGGCCAAACCTTGGCCGATAACAACACGCCCACAGATAATGACATGGGAGACTAGTGGGAGGCTTAAGCGGATCACGTCCTAATTAACACTGGGCTCTGGCTGATAGGCCTGGGGGACACCACAGCTCGTCACAATGCTCAATTCTGTCTGGATTAGAAACTGCGACAAGGGGGGGTGGGGGCCAAATTTTCTTATGAGGGACCCACATAGAGGTAGACAATGCGCGCCTTTCTAATTCCATCCCATGAAGGCCAGTCTGTTTGGTTATTACAGCAGATTCATGTAATTATTAAAACTGTGAGCAGGGGGATTAAAAACTGTGTCAGTGAGACATGTACACATTCTGTCCTAACTGTCAAATTATACTTTTGGCAAAATATCAAAGCACAGTTCAGAGTACCAGCTTTATTGTTCTGCACAACTGGATTTTGTGTGTCCTGTATTCACCCTATAATAAAAGCTCATTGTAAACGTTGAAGTACTTTGCATTGGTTTGGTTAATTATCTCCACCAAGGAGGTTCTCATCTGCGTTTGTTACAAGACTACGCAGACAGGACTGGATGGATTACCATGAAACTTACCGGAATGGATCGTGGACAAACCCATTACATTTTGGTGCTGATCCAGATCAGAGGACAGATCCAGGAACTCTTTTTCCCTTTCTTTGATAGAGGGCGTTTTTCAACATTTCTGTGAATTTCTCAAGACAATACAGAATAATGTCGAGTGCTAATATCTATGATTAAATTTGGTGCTCATCTGGTAAATGATCCAGATTTTGTGAATCAAAATAAATGTATTTATTAGGGGGCTGATCTTTATTCTTTTACTGCCGGGTAACAAGTACTTCTTTCAACTATATCAGAGAATGGATATCTTGGCTGTGTTTAATGTAAACAGTTTGCAAGACTTTTCTGTGTACATGGTATATGTATCTGATGTAATATGGTGATAAAGTGGCCTCGGCATAGATAACCCCCTCTATTTTATATTTCTTCTGCGAGAACACCTTTCATAGAAAATTCATCTTTGTCTTGGTGAGTTCACATGAAACAAAACTAAAAGCTTCTTTGACACACTGAAACTATGCAGAGGAGAAAAAAAACAAGTGATTATAAATATTAAAAACCACGTGTTTCTGACTGAATATCCCTCCAACATAAAGCAGATGAAATATACTTGACAGCGACCTCATCAGTCACTTCTGCAATTTGTTTTACATCTCTAGTTCTATACTTTAAGTTTGTATAGTTTTCCCTTCTTTTACATACATTTACATCAATTGCACAGGCTATGTTAGTCTAATGCAAAACTTTGTATAGCTTCAGTTATTTATCTTACAGCTTTGTAGTTCTAGTGGCCAGACTTTCTTCTCACTGCAGTGAACTTATTCTGGACCTATTCTGACCTTTTATAGTTCTTATGCTCTTGTGTTTGACCGTGTTGTGTGGATGCCTAAACTTCCCTCGGGATCAATAAAATATTTATCTATCTATCTAATTGTCTTTCTTTCTTCTGGCTAAAGTTAATAAAATAAAATGCAGGCCACAGGATGTAGTGAGAAATGCTGATGACAGCCCTCATGCATGGACTGGTAGTATCCTGCTGCTCACAGACTTAAATATGTCAGACTGAATCATGATACATTAAAAGCTCCATGCTGCAGGTGATCACTAAATTAATAATCCGACTGTTGCACATGAAGAAACAATCATGTAAATGCACAGGTCCATCATGTCACAGATGGCTGTGGCTGGCTGGTGTTATCTTTGTGTGCAGATCTAACAGGTTCCAGGACAACACACACACAGACAGACACACACACACACACACACACACACACA